ATTATAACCTGGTCCAGAAGGTTTCGCTGGGCCACACGGTTCATACAGATTCATCCAGTGCTCAGCAGTGCATGTTTTCAGATTTCAACAGACTGTAATTGTTTCTGTATGTACATATGCATCATGCAAGGGTACAACAGATGCGGTATTTGGTAAGCAGTTGGCAGCAAGGCGGTGTTTGTACTTATTGGCAGAACCAGTTGAGCAGGACTAAAACTATCCTATTTCTCTCCAATTTACTCAGATCCGTCTCAACACATTGAACATATTGAAAGCGTCCATCCATGAAGATGTCTGCATGTATACTCATTTCCGAGAAGGCACGCTCGTCGCTCATCCATTGCCGAGCAGGCACGTGCGTGCCCATCGCCGGCGCGCATTAGCGCGCGTCCATGGCTGGGACGCACGCGCGCGGCCATGGCCGGCATGCACGCGCGCGCGCCCATCGTCGGCACGCAAGCGCGCGCGCGTCCATAGCCGGCGCGCGCGCCGCGTCCTTACCCGGCGAGAACGCCGCGTCCACAGCCGGCACTGACAGACCCTGACCGACGGGCGTGCTGCCGTCGGCGGTCCTGACCGATGGGCGGCGGGCCCGGCTCCCGCAGCTCCGGCAGCGGGCGGCAGCCATGGTCGGCATACACGCGCGCGCGCCCATCGTCGGTACGCAAGCGCGCGCGCGCGCCCATCGTCGGCACGCAAGCGCGCGCGCGCGCCCATCGTCGGCACGCAAGCGCGCGCGCGTCCATAGCCGGCGCGCACCCGCGCGCGTCCATAGCCGGCGCGCACCCGTACCTGGCGCGCACCCGCGCGCGTCCGTACCCGGCCCGCACCCGCGCGCGTCCACTGCCGGCACTGACAGACCCTGACAGACGGGCGTGCTGCCGTCGGCGGTCCTGACAGATGGGCGGCGGGCCCGGCTCCCGCAGCTCCGGCAGCGGGCGGCAGCTCCGGTGACTGTTCCGGCAGCTCCGGCAGCGAGCGGCGTCTCCGGCAGCGCTCAGCAGCGGCGCCAAGCAGCAGCAGCGGCTGAGCCAACAGGCGGCCGCGGAGGCACGCCCCCCCGGCCCCCCCTTTGCACATTGTTCGTCCATGGAGATGTCTGCAAGCACGACCATTGTTGAGAAGGCACGTGCATCCATGGCTAAGCACTGAGCAGGCACGTGCGACCCCTTTGCACATTGTTCATCCATACATATCAATATAATTTACCTTATTGATTAGTGTGAGTCTTGCAAAATCTTTAACTCAGAAATACTCCACAAGGCAGGCTGCCTGGGTGAGTTGCTAATATGAACATAATGAACATTATACATTAGTGCAGTACCTATAAGTATCCATGCTGTGTGAAGGACTTGGCCCTCACGTTCATTTGTTTGGTGATTGCACATGGTGGCATGTGTACCAATTGTTCTCCCTAACCCTTCTTACAACTTTGACTAGCAAGTAGAAGCTGGCAAAATGCAAGGAGCTTACAAAGCATGCTTATATGTAGATAACTGAGGATGATTCTCTCAATTGAAGCATGATCCACACTCATCAGCTTCTTCTGTTCTGTTCCACAAACTAAAACTGAAATGAATCAATTTTCCTCAAAATATATTTATTTATCACTCACAAACAACAAAAATATACATTAATTAGGTACCAATGCAATAAAAAACATACAAGTTACATATTTTTTCATGTACAGTCCTTTCACAGCAACAATATTGAATATGTAGAAACGCACCAAGACGTTCACGGAGAGCCCACCCATAACAAACTATAGTTGAAGCCGGGGCTCTGCTGCAGCAGCAGGGGTTACGTGCAGGGCACAGAGGTCATGTCACATCATGTTGTACAACCTGAAGTTCGAAAAAACAGATCAACATTGATTTTGAAAAACTGTAGCGCTTTCTTCAGTCACTTAGGTAAGCTTTCTCGCAAGACGTTACATTAGATTCACCACTCTTGACAAAATAATCAGATTGAAACTTAGCTCTTGTGTCTGATGAACTTACATTTCAATTTATTGAAATAAAACACTCAAATTTACCCTTGAAAATTGTTGACATTTAAATGATATTAACATCAAGATTTTGATGATCAGCAAACAAGCTATTCAAATCACACCCATATAATAACTTTGGCAATGTTGATAACTCTTGCTGTCTTATTGAAAAGCAAATCTTTAATTTGTTCATATCCAAATCCAATGCCAAGCACTGAAATGTTGTTGCAAGGCCCTAAAAACAACAGACAAAAACAAAACAGTCTTGTGGAAATCGCCAGTGCGGTGCGGCGGCCTTGGCGAAATTTCCCAAGGCTGCTCTTTGTTTACATTTTAGCGATGGGCCAACTTGGCCGCCCAAGTACTTGTTTTGCGTGAGTAAGTACAATTTTGTCAATTTTGAAACGGCTATATCTCGCAAATTTTGGTACCGATTTACATTTTATGCATATCTTTAGAATCGGCAGAGTCTGGGGAGTTCATTGATTGGAAATTTTTGCCGATTCCTTTCAATTTTTAAACCCTGATAATCCCTTTAACAGTATTTTTGTTTATTTTGAAGTAGGTACCAATAATTTAGACGATAGTATAACAAACATTCAAGCCGTTTTAGATGTTAGGCATGAAAGTCGTTTTACGTCGTTTTTATATGCATACATTTGGTCTTGGATTTTCCTTTGTGATGCATCGAACATTAAAAACATTACTCAAATTGGATTAATTCGATAAGACGATTGAAACAAAAATCTTAAATGAACACACTTGGGTACAAAGATTCATATGTTTACTTGTGCGAAACAATTATTCATGTCTGATGCATGTTGACTCCGTTTTAAATTTTAAGGAAAGCATTACCTATTGGTCGCTTATGTAATGTCTACTATGGTTTCGACTATACTGCAGTTTTGTTCAGTCTTGGTCTACAGGACAGGATGAAATCAAATCTCTGACCTTTTTGCGTCTCCTTCAATCCAATGTAACTTTGTGCCCTTCAGTTCGTGCTTTGCGCCATGCATAAGGATAAAAAATGTTTTGAGTGTTTGGGTATTACTGAGTGCAGTGCGACAGAGCTATGTACGTCGGTAGTTTGTACTCTTGGTGTTGCGTTACCTTGGAGGCTGTTTTGTTACTGGCCACTTGGAACTCCGAAAGCAATTAAGGCTGTCGCAACTGTCATGTAGATCATACTGATAACGTATGCTGCGCAAACGTTGGTACGATCCAACAAACACTACATTATTCATCGCTATAGTAAAAGCAGCGCACATTTGCTGTCATCACTGCCAGAGTTATTCGCTGTAAAAGGCACAACAGTTTTGTTTTAAAGGTAGTGTGCCAGCTTTCTTGGACCGTATGGAGTTAATGGCCCAGATAAGGAGAACCGGATTTTTAGAACTTATCCATACCTTCAAAACTCATGGAAACGTCTTAAATTCTTCAAATTTTGAGTACCCCAGTGCGAAATTCGCCCCGACGGGTTGTCGGTCGTACCCCAACCACATTTCACACCACTATGAACAATAAATGCACACACTGAAATCGCTATTACCGATATGCTCATCCAATCAAGTTTCGATAAACCCGTTCATCATCAGCTCCTGCGGTTTCGAACACGCCTGTTAGTTGGCTTCTGATGCTCGTCGAGGTCGGAATTTCCAAATACGCGTGGTGCGTCGGGCCGCGCGCTCTGACTTCGGCCAAGAAAAATGCGTCAGCTGATCATTGTCATTTCTGCCACTTACGTGTGGTGAAATGGGGTCATAACTTATAAGACGGCTTTTTCATATCAATTATTTTACATAAAATCATATTTCAAACCATAAATAATGTTCGACAGCCAAATAAAAGAAACAATACCAATACGGGCTTACAGTTTAAGGCTCGACATTGTGTTGTCTACGATTAGACAGCTGATAACTCATTCCCGTACGTCGTATGGTCGTAACACTATAATGACCTTTGCTTATTGTCACAAGTGCGCCGCATTCGCGATTGTTGCCCGACGCCTGTTTGCAGGTGAGCCCACTACAGTTGTTATACATATCTAAAAACCGATAAACTTTTAGGCGAAAAAGGCACTATTCCAGGCCCATTTTTGATTTTTTTTGCGATATTAGGTAAAAACAGAAGCTTCTTATCCTAGGAAAAATAAAATGGGAAATCTTTCAAAGGTGGCACACTACCTTTAAGTTGGTATGTCGCAGTTGCCACGTTTCACAGTTTCCACCGTTGTGTTCCGCAGTTTCCATTTTTTCAATTCAATTATTTAATTTCGTAGTTTCCACTATTATTTCTTCGATGGCGGCCAAAGTGTTTTCGACCTGCTGGAGTGCGAAGTCTGATAGAGATTCCTGGAATACTTTGCTGGAAGTAATGCCTATAAACTAAGTTCCTCAGCTCGTCGGTGTGTTGCTGAGTGCTAAGCTCCTGGGCGCTGATCAGCGCTCCCGAACCCCTGCAGTATAGACTGCGCCGCAACACGCCGGGTGCTACTGGCCGCTGTGGCGCTGCAGTCTCCTCAGCTCGGCACAGCGGCCACTTACCGCGACTATTACCGGGACAATTACCGGAGCAATCCTCACCAATGGACTGCACTCGGAACAACATGGATGCATTTATTGCGGGCGAATGCCTTTGGATTGGAAATATGGCAATTGTATTTTGAAAACTGGCAATTGTATTTTGTTTGTTGTGCAATTGTACTAGATATACCTACAATTGTAAAACGAACAAAGTGCCCACTTCTTAGTGCTTGATTTAATCAGTTGCATTTCATTGATAATAAGCGCGTTGTCTCGCACAAATCAATCATCTCTCTCAAACAACACAATGCACATGGTATTAAGAAGGGTGCCATTTCTGTTCAGAATAGAGCTGGCGCCTTCTCCACCATGAACCGAGTCAGCATGTCTTTCAGCGTGCGTCGAACCGGCGCTGCCCGACCCGGTGTGGGTCCGATTCACGAGCGCGTGGCTGCTCCACCTTACGATTCGACCGGCGGCCGTTTCAGATTTATCGGTGGGCCTCATCAGCGTCCTGACCGACATCGGCTGGAAGATCACCGTCTCTTGGAACGCCGGCAACGTCGCCTGCAAGATCATCAAGTTCTTTCAGGTGAGTATGCTGTTGTACATACAGCCGCTGGAATGTAGCTAGTGTCGCGGCTCGTTCGAAACTGTATGCCGAAACACAAACAACAGTTTGTGCTGAGTTACTGAGTGATTTAACTCCAAAGCCGACGGGCTCGATTTTGCGCTTGGCCTCTGGTCCAAGGAGAACAGTGATTTGTTTGTGTTTAGTACTTCGAGTTGAAGTGTCTAGGCAGGTGGAATGCTCCATTCAGAGCTTCGTGACAGAAGGGCGATGGTCATCTTTAATGCATGCCTCCGTCGCAAGATTTTCAGCACATAATATAGGCCTGATGCCAGCTTTAACGGAGTTATATCAACCGAAATGTCAACATGAATACAGGCAAAGGCTGGATTCCGTCTGCATTGATGCAAATTCCATGACAAAACCGTCTGGGTGTGGGCAGACACCGTGCTCCCGAGTCTGGCGGGCCATATATTTCAGCGATATGGTTAAAGTGATTCTTCAACGTCAACAATATTTTGAGTAAATAATGCTTTGTCTGCTGCCTGCTGGAAGTACTGCGCTCGATTTAATGAAAAATTGAAAGTAATAAATTCATTATTAAAGACATTTTGTAGCCTTAAAGCTGTGCGACCGTATTCCATAGGCATAAGGTAAAGCAGCGATTTTAACTTCTCAGAAATTAGCTCAAATTTAGCCCGTCCCAAAGGGGGAGTGGTCACCACCTTACAGTTCCAGTAACCAGCCAACGGCTTGTTCAGCCGTTTACTGGTAATGAGTCCGGTTTTCAACTGATATGTGAACTGTTTCAGATCTTGGTGACATATTCCTCCACATACGTGCTGGTGGCTCTCAGTATAGACCGCTGTGACGCTATCACCCATCCCATGAACTTCACCGGAAGCTGTGAGTATGAACGCCGCTGCCGTGAGGCGGCGACTGTAATAAATAGGTACACTGGACGCTGAAGGCGATAAAGTACTTAGAAACGTCAGAGGAAGGCCCAAGATTCGAGACGTTCAGATCTGGTGCTGAGATTCTTGAGTCAGACGCTATGTTTAACCCTATTCCGGGCGGGGGGGGCCTTTAAGGCCCCCCCTCAGGTTTTTCTTGTGCCATTGCCAAACGCCGCGAGATTGAAAGCTCATACTCGGTGACTTTTCCTAAACATTCATTGCGCACATTTTGACAAAAAAAAAGTTGCCGGGTCAGGTCAGGTCAGGTCACCAGAGGCGGTTTCTTGACCCTTCCTCAGAAAAGTTTGCAATCACGCCAGAGCTAGAGCTTTTGACTGATCAATTTCTTCTCTTCAGCTTTTAGTTAGGGTACCAGTATCTGCAATTTGTATATCTCAGAATTTTATATCTGTGACCTGAGGTCAGGCCAGACTCGTGACCTTTACGAGTACATTGCAAGCCTATGGGAACATATTGGAATGCCTCCTGCTTCGTGTAAATGAGTCAAAACCACCCAATTCTTTCAGTATTATGGAAGATTATCTCATCGGTGATAATCCTGGTGCCGCTTATTGACAGGGGCACCGGGAACGGTCATCTGAGGTCATGTGACGTCATAAATCGTTTTTGTCAATAAATCACTACACGATGGTGCTAAAGACTTGTAAGTGGTACCAAACTGCTCGCCTGGTCAAGGTGCGTCGTTTGGTGTGCAGCATGACCATACCCCACAACCTCATTGGTGAATGGCCTGACCTTGACCTCGGGTCAAGTTTCAAATTGACCTGCGAAGGTCATCGCATACTTATTTCACATCACCTCGACGAGAGCAACAAAAAATGTATTAATTTTATGTTTCTATGTTTCTTAGTTCAAAAGTTATATAAATAACTAATTCGAAACCATTTTATCGTTGATGACCTCTGGTGACCTCAATATTGACCTGACCCGAAGATGTTTTATGTAAAAGTTGTAGATCTTTAAACGGCCTATCAAACGCCGTTTGCCGTTTGTCGCTACGATGTGTGATTTTTGAGATATGAAGGGGGACCGAAAAGACCCCCGCCCAGAATCGAACCTTTCAGAGCCCGCCCGGAATAGGGTGCAATAATAGCATCAGTGCCGAAATCTCAAAATGCAAAATTCAATCTTCATTATGCAATATGCATGTTTAAAGCTCACAAAGCTAGGGTGGAAGTTCGTAAAGGTTATTTTAAGCACACGCATATATACCTGACCAGTCTCACAAGGCCATGTTGTTTGTTCTAGGGCGAAGAGCCAGGCTGCTGATTGCCACGGCGTGGTGTCTTAGCGCGGTCTTCTCTGCGCCCTACCTGTATCTGTACAGGGAGCAGCTGGTGGGAGGTGAGAAAAACTCCCCGGTCATTAGCGCAGTCTTCTCTGCGCCCTACCTGTATCTGTACAGGGAGCAGCTGGTGGGAGGTGAGAAAAACTCCCTGGTCATTAGCGCGGTCTTCTCTGCGCCCTACCTGTATCTGTACAGGGAGCAGCTGGTGGGAGGTGAGAAAAACTCCCCGGTCATTAGCGCGGTCTTCTCTGCGCCCTACCTGTATCTGTACAGGGAGCAGCTGGTGGGAGGTGAGAGAAACTCCCCGGTCATTAGCGCGGTCTTCTCTGCGCCCTACCTGTATCTGTACAGGGAGCAGCTGGTGGGAGGTGAGAGAAACTCCCCGGTCATTAGCGCGGTCTTCTCTGCGCCCTACCTGTATCTGTACAGGGAGCAGCTGGTGGGAGGTGAGAAAAACTCCCCGGTCATTATTCCCCGATTGTTTGACCGGAGGCTGAGTGTCGACGCCAGCCTGATAACGGAGATGCCAGCAGCGGCGCTCCAGAGAACTATTACCACAACAGAAAGTTATTGAGATGTGGATACGAAAAAGAGCTTTACAGATGTTACGCAATGCCAAGTGCAATTGTGAAAGTCTGTTTCTTCCGTTTGAACTGTTGATTTAGAAAAGGTACAGATTCAGTTATTTCTGTACAAGCAAGTGTACTGCTTCCACATTTTACGTAACTATATGTAGAGCAATCAAGATACTTGTGGTTTGCGACCGTGGAAACTGCGAGAAAAATTGTTGCCAACTGTCGTTACCGTATTCAAAAGTTCCTCTCAATATATTTCCAATGTTATATTTTCAAAGCACGGCTGTCAAAGAAACTGGAAACCTTATGCGTCTGAAGAATCCAATAATGGATGTTTTCGTGGTAGTCTTATATAACTTTTTTACATTTCCCTTTGACGAGTGTATGTTTTATGCCGTATCGTAAGTATTTGTTATAAATAGTGCCGAAAAAGTTTGAGATGTGACTTCATGTTGCCGTGCTATTTATTTATGCTATTTATTTATTATGCTATTTATTATTTTATTTATGCTATTTAGTCAATGTCGCATCGCAATGTCGCATAATGTACAAAACATTTCTTGTCTTCACCAGACAAACACTTAAGTACGGCAAAGCAGCTGCGCCATCAGCCATGCGGGTGCTGCTGCGGCACACGGTGGGCGCTGTACGCTCGCTGTATAGCTGTCTACGTCTCCGGAATTTAGGTGTTTCGGTGCGATGGGTAGTTGTCGTTCCGCTGGGCTGGCCCGGCTGGTTCGGCGGATAGATGCTGGTCGGATTTAGGTGTTTCGGTGCGATGGGTAGTTGTCGTTCCGCTGGGCTGGCCCGGCTGGTTCGGGGGATAGATGCTGGTCGGATTTAGGTGTTTCGGTGCGATGGGTAGTTGTCGTTCCGCTGGGCTGGCCCGGCTGGTTCGGGGGATAGATGCTGGTCGAATTTAGGTGTTTCGGTGCGATGGGTAGTTGTCGGTCCGCTGGGCTGGCCCGGCTGGTTCGGGGGATAGATGCGGGTCGGATTTAGGTGTTTCGGTGCGATGGGTAGGGTTGTCGTTCCGCTGGGCTGGCCCGGCTGGTTCGGGGGATAGATGCTGGTCGGACAGCAGCAGTAGCAGGTCCCTACCGGTCTGTGTTTAAACGACCGCAGTTCGGTTGTCGGTCGTTCGACTGTCCTTTGGTTGCTGCAGCCATGGCTCGGTCGCAGTGTGACTGTCGACCGGTCACTGTACGTGTGTCGACCGGCCGTTTTACCACTGCCGACCGGTCGTTTTACCACTGGCGACCGGTCATTTTATTACTGTCGACCGGTCATTTTACCACTGTCGTCCGCGCGGTGTGCGTCGAGTGACCACTGACCACGCACCTCGGGCAGCGGGCACGGCCGATGGCCCACCGGGGAGCCGGCCGCACATAACTCCAGATGGGATGGCGGTCCGCGCGGACAAATCAAACCCGGTCGTCGGCCGCCGCGCCGTGCCCGTCAGCCGGCCCTAGTTATTCGTCGCTGAATCGCAGGTCACGAGTGCTGAGCCGACAACGCGACCAGTGCCAATACACGTGCGCCACTCAGGGAGACTCAGACCAATAGACGACCGGGCTTGGTCAGCGGGAATTGATCTGGAGTCCTTCCAAATGCTAGAAGTTTCAATTAAACCTGTTTGTCTCGCGTTTTCGGATCCTGTAAAACAGCGGAAGTGAAAAGACGAACTAACTAGAATTGCAGATGAACGTTTCTGGTCCTCATATTCGTAGATCGTTTGACAGGTAACTTATGATTATTGCTCAGTTTTGCGCCAAATGTCCAACTTTGTCAAGCTCAGCCAGGGTAAACAGCTTTGTTGCGACTGCTCTTTGGCTCCCTTCCTCATTTCTGCAATTCCGAAACGCGCGTAGGGAACTTCGTTCAATTAACACATGCTCATCAGAAACTTGGAACTGTTTTGCCATTGTGTTTCTGTTGTTAACGCGCGGGACCCAAAGTTCGTTAATAAGCACGTACTTGCCTGCTGGGATAATTACATGCTTTCGGAATTCACTGCAAATAGTTGCGCCATGCTCCACTCCTTCGATTGGATCTATCACTAAACAACGTATGCACCTTGAGTGGCAACAAAATGCAAAAGTTTGTGTTTGGGGTAACAATAAGCTTTTGGGTTTTATTGCCAAACTGGATGGAAAATGAATACGATGATAATGCCAATCTAAGGTGCGGAGTCTCGCGCGTCCTACTATACTGTTACAATTTCTGATTGACCGATAGCATAGTATTTGCGTTATTCTCCGTTTTGTCGAAAAAAAAAGAATACCTACTACGCAGTGTGCTGTACAAAAAGTACAAAAATTGCATGCTGAATATAAAAATCGTTTAAAACATCAGATTATTTATCGATTACAAAGAAGTTCAACCAACTCAGGTTTCATGGGCTTTGATTCTATTCTTCAGTCAGCCAGGTCGTGCCAGAACTGTAAAAGCCCAGTGTGGTGTCCAGCCGAATAGACGTCTAGGTCAATTTGGGACGCATAACGACCTAGCGGTGCTTCTGGGAGTGTGCCAGCCGTATAATTATTCCATATAGAGGGACATGACGGGGTGACAACGTTCATAATGACGCCGCGTCGACCAACCATTTCTGGGCGAACGACCATCGCTCTTACGGCAATATGGAAAGAATAGGAAAGCTGCACGCTCTCCAACAGTAATTCGCTGAATCACCTCTCAAAAGGCACTTGTAATTGAATGTTGCAGTAATAGCAGCAACAACAAAAAAATAAAGAAATGTATGTAATAAATTGGCTCTGAATATGAAGAGGAATTAAAGCGTTAAATTGGCAGTGTGCGACATGGCTTAGGCGTGAAATGTGGGACGCAACTGAATTATTGCAACCGCGACTTGAACGATAGTCGGACCTATATGGCCCTAGAACTATACCCGGTATATGAACTACCGGGAGTCTGGCGAAATATATAGTCTGTACACGGACAGTAATTTGTTTTAGATAAGGAATATTCAAGCTCCTGGTCTGACAACGAGGCGATTGGGATCTAAATTTCAAGTAATACATCACTGAGAAAACAGTGTCCCGATTTTCGGGCTCAGAGACCAGTTTTCGGGCTAATGTACCATATTCAAAACAGACAGCACATTTCGAGAATACTTTCTGAGCTAGCGCCACATGGGCTCATACGATCCCTTAAATCGGTATCATTGATCGCAGAAACAGAGCTCAGTCAGTACCCATTATCGGTGTCAAGCTCTAAAACTAGTCTCACTATGATACCAGTTTTCAGCCTGATCCCCATTTTCGAGCTCACCTGATTCCAGTTTGAGGGCTCAAATTGTGTGGTGAAGCCAATATTAGGGCTCACGTCATCGCTTTTCGGGGCTTTGGTAAAAGCTGGATTGCGTCAGCTGGCTGGCCAGCTGGCGACGCACGAAAGGTATTTAATTTTAGATATACCTAAGCGCGGTAGAAGGATGGACATAAATATTTCAAATGGCTTTAAATGAAAAATTGATTGGTAAATATTCATTCTTTTATATCTAGCATTGATATGTAAGAAGCTCTGCTAGCGCCACCATACGGCGCCAGCTGGCAAAAAATCCAGTTAATACCAGAGCCCGCTTTTCGTCCGATGCAGCCCCTCCTCCCCCCTCCCCCGTGTCCAGCAGCTGCGAATAAGACGAAGCCGCGGACAAACTCTTTTTTTTGCTCGGCCAGCCTAGCGCCAGTCTCGAACGGTGGGACAGTTAACCGGCAATTTTGGCCGGGATGCAAAAGTTACGTTAAACCGGTTTATGTTAACCCGGGAGCAAATAACAACGTGGGAGCCTATCTTAGGTGTGGCAAAGCTAACGGATTACTTACTTGTTGCCGAGGTGCCCAAAGAAGGTACTGGAACCGAAAACACAACATTGGTTCATGTATTTATTAACATTCATACACACAGTCATACTTGTGCAAGGTGTCAGTGTTCGGTTGTGGGGTGTAATAGCCAGGGAAAAAGTTCTATGAACTGAAAAACCCGGCGCCTATTACTTCGCAACATGGTTGTGTATTCAACATGAACTGCAAGGAGTGCAGACGACATTGCCTGTGCTAACTTAACGTCTCACGGGCAGCGCCGCGCTCTGACACCTTGGTCCCAGAAGCGGCGGCGTTTCTGACCGCAAATCGCCGGAGAGCCGGTCGACGCCGTTGAGGGGACTGAGCAGGCCGCTGCCAGCTCCACCTTCACGTCCGCGCGGCGCAGCTCGGTGTGCGGCGGCGGCTCATCGCGCGGGCCGCACCCGTCCGTCCGCTGCACGAGCCGCTTTTCGATCCGACAGCGCAACACCGGCACGCCATTGTGCTGGCTGAGCGGCGGCAGCGGCACGTAGGCAACAAAACAGTAGAAATCGATGGGCCTGGATCGGCGTTGCCAGCAACGCCGGCAGCGGCGCGGCGGGAGGCGCCAGTGCCGCCGTCGGGGACGTGTGCCCTTCGCTGCGCTCATTCGAATTG